CATCAACGCTGCCGTCCGTCTTACCGCTACGCTTTTCTTCGTTTCGTTCTGTGTCTCTTCTTATATTTTACTCGGTATTTTTTTTTTACTTGATTCTTTGTTCTTTTTTTGGATTTAATTTTTAATTATTTTGCTTACTTTTTTATGAAACTTTTTACGTTTCTTTATCACAAATTGATTTGCTGTTCACTTATTTGTTAATTTATTGTATTTTCGTCGTTTTGTATCAAGTAAATTTTTGTTTCCCAATTTCTTCCCTTTCAAGAACGCTTTGATTTTTTTCGCAAAACACTAGGTAGGGATACTTAGGTCGATTAATCACTAATTGCTTTATCGGCTTTTTGGTGTTTGATAGACACGGGGAATAATCGATAATATTTGTTGTTGGTTTCCCATTGCGATTGTAATCAGAAATAAACCGGTGTTTACACAAGACAAAGTGGATGAGAACACAACCTTTACTTCGGATGAGGCTTTGTTTACATTGGAGTATCCATTTTACGTGTATATTTGTATAATCATGGTACAATTATACGAGGTATGGTAGCTTTTGTCAGAAAGGAGAAAATACCTTATGGGCAATATATCATATTTTTAACATTTTACCAAAAACGCGAAATGAATGGACTGTCAGATTTTTTTAAAAAAGAGTTGGGGATATGTTTTTGCATGTTTGGCCTGTTCATGTACTGCAAGAATCTGCTAGTTTTTAATATTTTTTCCGATATCATAAAGGAAAAATTGTTATCGTAGTAAATACTAGGAGATTCTTGCAGTACGGGAACAGACCACTTGATTCATTCCCGAATCATACATTTCTTCTTATCGATTTTCGAATATATTTTGTCATAGACAACTGTAAACTACTTCGTTACTTACTTAGCTGGCTGGTTACAGAACGGTTGCTCCATAAGCCGAGCTTAAACAAGATTTCCAGGCGCGTCGGTCTTGTGCGCATCTCCTCCAATTTGAAAGACCGCGTTCCAAGATATTGTTTTCTACTTGGTCTTTCCATCTGTTTCGAGGCCTTCCCCTTCTACGGGAACCATCCGTAGGCTCGCTTTTATATGCCTTTTGAGCTGGGGCATTCTCTTTCATTCGTACAACATGGCCTAGCCATCGTAGTCGCTGCAGCTCAATACGACTGACTATGTCGATGTCCGCGTATAAATTGTAAAGCTCGTGGTTCATTCATTTGGGTCTTGTAACAGTGAGTTTGGTCTGGCGGGAGGTGGCCTTGTTTTTAAACTGCTTACTTAGACCAAAGTAGCATCTGTCACAATCCTTCTCCGAATTTCCTCAAAGCTGCAGTTCTCAAGTTCCACAGTTGGTCCGAGTCTACTGGACATCTTGCGCGTTGATACCATCAGCTTGGTCTTCTCGCTGTTTACTGTCAGACCCACTTTGACACACTTCTTCTCAACATGACTTTAAACAGACCTGGCAAATCCACCATTCACCAGATTTTCAATCTGCGTCGTTTCCAGGATTTGGCGCAGAGTGAAAATCTGGTCAATGGTGGATTTGCCAGGTCTGAAGCCGCATTGGTATGGTCCAATAATGTCATTGACCATTGGCTTCAGTCGTTTACACAGCACACTGAATAATTCCTCTACCATATCGTATTGTCTCCTTTTTCTGCACTGGACACAGGATGCTCAGGTTCCAATCATTGGGCATGCATTCCTCTAGCCAAATTGTAATAATCAGCTGGTACATGCTCCTGACCAGCATCTGGCCACCAGTCTTGAATAGTTTGGCTGGTAACACAGCGGCTCCTGCTGCTTTATTGCTCCTCAGCCGATTAATTGCTATTCTGACATCATCTTGGCTAGGTGGTATACACTCAGTACCGCCACGATTTGATACCAGAAGCTTTTCAAGATGCTCCTTCCAGATCCTCAACACGCTGTCTGTATCTGTCAAATGCACATCTTTCTTACCGATAGAAAACGATGAAGGTCTAATGATCCCGACGGATCATTGGGTTTTCCGCACCCCAGTTTTGACAACTTTGCCACCAAAATGCAAATCGACCTCATCAATCGAGAGGATTTTTCGATTAAATCATTTCAATGCACAAAAATTCTAAGGTAAATGCCCTTTAATATCATCAAATATAATCCAGTGGATTATATTTGATGTATACGCTATGGAACTGACATTCGAGATCGAGGGGATTTCGTAAATCTAAATGTATTTCAATATTCCTAGTTGTTATAATAAATAATAAAACTGCACATCAGTTTTATTCTTCGTGTCACTAACTTTTCTCATCAACTTGAATTTTTCCAATAATTTCCATATTGCAAAGGCCAAATATTCTGCCAAAATCTCGGAAAACCCCTTTAAAACCGAAAATTATTGAGAAATAAAATATTTTACACTTTGAATATATGTTTGTGTAAACGTAGTCATATAACTATGATTATTTGACAACCGTTATAAACCATGCGTAACACACATGTACGATACGTCACAATACTATCACCACTAATTACGACATAGTTGTGAAAGGGTGAGAGAGAGAGAGAAAGCGAAGAGTGATGAGCTTTTTGCCAGTTTCGCGGTTATTTTCATGAAATGTTCTAAAATAATAGTATTCTTTCATTTTCTTATTAGAAATTGCTATAAATAATTAGATATTTCGAAAAATCGTTAAAAATAAGTGTTGTTTAATGTCCGGTTAATAAAATACATGAAAATTCGAAGAAAAACATGGTGAGATTCTATATAATTCGATTTGTGATACGTTTAACCGTGATGGGTGCAAAGAAAAACAAATTGTTTTCTTAGTATTTTATGTGAAAATTGTATGGAATATTACAGCAACAAAGTGGTTGTGGGAAATAACATATCATCAAATATAAGGTGTTAAAATCTGAATTAAATTATCAAAATATTTCGTTGTGTCGTTATACTTTGTTAAACATAACCTCAACAATTTCGAGACAATTTCCGACAAGCAACATCTTGCATTGTTCAGTGTTTATATACCCCCCAAAAAAACAAGTCATTTGCCATTAAGGAGATAAGGATATATTCTGTAAGTTAGTATTAGCAAAAAAAGGGTTGCCAATTTCTTTATGGGATTTCTTTGCAGTTTTTTGCCTTTGTTACTAATAAAATTTTATAGTTTGTGTGTTAGCCCGGAAACCCATAACTGACCACAAAATTAACATTTGGGGATTTGGCAAAAAATAAAGATTTCTTATAGGTTAAGTTAAGGTAAAAGAAAAAAATCGAAGTTTTCTTTTATTTGATTTGAAAATTGCATTTTTATGTGAAAATTGTATGGAATATTACAGCAACAAAGTGGTTGTGGGAAATAACATATCATCAAATATAAGGTGTTAAAATCTGAATTAAATTATCAAAATATTTCGTTGTGTCGTTATACTTTGTTAAACATAACCTCAACAATTTCGAGACAATTTCCGACAAGCAACATCTTGCATTGTTCAATGTTTATAAATGAACAATTTTATTTGCGAAGTGATAAGTAAGCTATCAATCTATGAATATTTGACGAAAAGTCGTTGTCTAGTTAGAATTTATTAAAAAACTCCTTTGTTTATAATATTTGATTGTAATTTGAAGATCAATATATAGTAGGACATATTTGAATTTCATTGTGAACATTCATTTTATACATTTAAATCTTACCGATACTTTTGTAATGAGATGTTACGGAATTCGACTTAAGTCAAATTTAAAACCCGGTAGCGGAATCGTCCTGAATTTGTTATTATAAATAGTCCAAGTTTCGAAGATGTGTCACGAGGAGATATTGTATTGTAGTGTCACTAAAATTCTGAATAGAATTGTATTTAGTCTGCAGGCAGGTCAAGTTCACAGCCCCCATAGAAGAGACCCCACACAATTTCCAGTATTTTGGGCGTTTCAGCGCATTTTTATCCGAATGTTTCATCAATATAGCCCCACTTTTTCGGGTAGCCCCATTTAACTGTACCCCAAATTTTAGGTATTACAGGGGTTTTGAGGGCATTTCGCCGCAATATGGTACTTTGGTTCTTATTCGGTGCCAAATATCTCCACGAAAAATTATCAATGTGGCCCATTTTCTCGTGTAGGCTCCATATAAAGGTGGGTTTGGGCACGTTTTTCAAGTACAGTGTTGTAATTTGGTATATTTGATTCTCATTTTGAATGAAATCTCTCCACTAAAATTTGTAAATTCGGTCCATATTTTGGGGTAGACCCCATATAACGGCAGCCTACAAATATCCAGATCTTGAGGATTTTGGACAAGTTTTTACAATCCAACTGTCTTTAATTTTATGAGTTCTAATTGGGTACTAAATACTTAAAAATTGATATTGGTTAAATTTTTTGGATCCCTTGGTATCGGTACCACCAAATATTCAGATCTTGATGATATTGGACAACTTTTTCATCCAACTGACTGTAATTTGTTATGTTGAGTTTTTATTGGGTACCAAATCTCTTCACAAAAAATGTTTAATATAGGTCCACTTTTTCGGATACCCCCCGTATAAAGGTACCCCAAAAATTTCCATATTTCGGGGAGTTTGACAGCGTTTTTCTACCGCTGCAATTTTGTGCTATGAGTTCTTTTTCGGTGCCAAATCTTTCCACTAAAAATAGTCAATATGGGTCCACTTTTCGGAGTAACTCCCATATAAAGGTACTCTTGAAATTTCGGTATTTCGAGGAGTTTGGTGAAGTTTTTCAAACGAAATGTTTGTAATCTGTTATTTCAGATTCCCATTTGGCTCGCAATCTCTCATCTAAAATTCATTCATATCGGTCCACTTTTTGGGGTAGCCTCCACATAACGGTACATTTTTCAACCAAATTTGCTTCAATATCTAACTTTGGGTTTTTATTCGGTTCCAAAACTCTCCACCAAAAATTATCAGTATGAGCCCACTTTATCGGGTATCCCTAAATAACGGTAGATTTCCCCTTGGGCCATGAAAAAATGCCAACACCCTTCGATAAGTAAACAAATACCATTTTGTTATATATAAATGCAGGCTATATTTAATAACGTTTAAATTGTTTCTTAAATTTATCATAATGATAATCGTCTGTGGCACGTTTGACACCATTCGCACCCACTTGATTGTTGGGATTTACATGGCCCTCTTCGGCTGCTTTTCTTTGATGGAAACGGCGCTTTTGGGCATCATTGTTTTCCTCGATGTTAACTAAAAATTAAATAAAAGTATAGAATAAATCCCAATATATGTAACTTTCAAATAACTTACATCGATTATGCTGCATAAAATTCACAGCCATATTGGTGGGCACAAACTGTGATGGGCCATCCTTTTTGTTCTTTTGATCCTGCAGCAACTTTTGTTTTGCCTCCTCGGTGGCTTCGATATTTTTAATTTTTGCCTCAATACCCAAATCCACTTCGGGAATACCATTTAACATTTGATTTGATAACATTTCTTCGGAACGATGTGATGATGATTGACGCAAATGATCAGGCAGGGCATAGAGAGCAGCCTCTTCGGGGGTTAGATATTTTTGTGCATCTGTTGCTTGATCATTTTCTGCTGTCTGTGCCTGTGCGAGGCCTTTACGTTTTTGCAACTCTTGTTCAATGTATTTCATCATCTCCTCGTCTTCATCGCGTTTATTTGTTTCGGCCGAGAATTTTGTACCAATACCAACATCATAGGCATCCTCTTCGGCTTCTTTGTGGCTGCTCGATTTTAATGCGTGCATATTTACCAGACCACCTGTCTTTACGTTGAAGGGATCTTTGATTGTGATCTCCTCCTCGGGTGCCAGTTTTTTGCCCAAAGCCAATCCTATTACACTGACTCCATGTGGTCGCTCGCGGAGCTTTTGTCGCTCCTTGATGTCGGCCAAAGGCACTCTGGTGGGAGATGGGGAGACATTAAGGATGGATAAATAAACAAATGCTGATTTACTTACGGTTCCTCCTCCGCTTCATCGTCGGAATTTCGTCGCTGCCTTAGATTTTTACGTGGTTTCTTTTTGAAAACTATTTTCTCTTCTTTTATTTCGTTTTCCAGCATTTTCTGAGCAATTTGTGTTGTGTACTGTTTTGTTTGTAAACAACAAGTAATTTCAAGTATTTGTACAGCTGTCCCATGGGGTATGTTCAGTGTTGAATGTGATGCCATATTAATTGTAGAAGGTAACAAGTGTTGCCAATACATATAATGTCACTGATCTGTTACATTGACACTGTAAATAAGAGTGAAAGAGAGGAAAAATGGCGTTTCATTTAGTTTCGCGGTATTTTTGCTAAATTCTTGTTGGATTGTAATATATGTCGTATTATTTTGGAAAATAATAATAAAATGGAGTGTGTTTTTAGTAATTTCTATGTTAAAAGTAAATATGTGTGTGTTGTGTATAAAATAAAAGAGATAAATAGCCGATAACATTCGTTTTTCCGTGTGTAAAGTGTTTCAAGGCTATTGCTTGGAGTGACTTGTAAAAAATCGAATTTTAGTGGAAATTTTGAACATTTTTGGAGGCATTACGACAAAAAAGAATACTTTTATTAGTAGGTAAGTCGTGTGATATATAAAACAATAGCAAATATAATAAATATTTTTAACACATAGCCTCCTCGAAAACCTAACCTCAAAAATGTAAACCAATAGTTGGAAGGATGTTACTTTCGCAATAATCGTTAAAAACAATTCATCCAATTAGAAATTACCCATATCGGTTCACGTTTAGGTATGAATGATTTCGAATCGTAGGCCCCTCTGTTGTGGAAACTGACATCAAGGCCTTAAGGTATGGATTAAAAAAAAAATTATCGAGGCTTAGAAGGCCATAAGTCGTGGATTTTTAAAATAATTTTTATTGAGGCTTAGAAGTCCTTAAGGCGTGGATTTTTAAAAGAATTTTTATTGAGGCTTAGAAGGCCATAAGGCGTGGATTTTTAAAAGAATTTTTATTGAGGCTTAGAAGGCCATAAGGCGTGGATTTTTAAAAGAATTTTTATTGAGGCTTAGAAGGCCATAAGGCGTGGATTTTTAAAAGAATTTTTATTGAGGCTTAGAAGGCCATAAGGCGTGGATTTTTAAAAGAATTTTTATTGAGGTTTAGAAGGCCTTAAGCCCTGAATTTTTATTGAGGCTTAGAAGGCCTTAAGCCCTGAATTTTTATTGAGGCTTAGAAGGCCATAAGGCGTGAATTTTTAAAAAGAATTTTTATTGAGGCTTAGAAGGCCTTAAGGCGTGAATTTTTAAAAGAATTTTTATTGAGGCTTAGAAGGCCTTAAGGCGTGACTTTTTAAAAGAATTTTTATTGAGGCTTAGAAGGCCATAAGGCGTGGATTTTTAAAAGAATTTTTATTGAGGCTTAGAAGGCCATAAGGCGTGAATTTTTAAAAAGAATTTTTATTGAGGCTTAGAAGGCCTTAAGGCGTGAATTTTTAAAAAGAATTTTTATTGAGGCTTAGAAGGCCTTAAGGCGTGAATGTTTAAAAAGAATTTTTATTGAGGCTTAGAAGGCCTTAAGGCGTTAAATATCAAATATTAATCCTCGTATATAAAATATTAAAAATATAATTTATTTTGGATTACGTCCATTTATTTTATTTTTTCTCTTTCTCTGTATATTTTTGTATTCATAAAAAAACAATTATTTCTCAAAAAAAAAGTCCTGTCCTTTGTCAAGTCCTTTGAAGTAAGTGTGTGGCTGTTTTCTATATTTTCCTGGAAAATACTATTTAGAATTGGTTATTGTGTAGTATTTGTACATTGGTTAGATCAGCGAGGGTGTTATTATCCGGCGAATCGTAAGTTAAATTTATTCCATTTTACTATCCGCATTTACCGCCTTACGTGATTTATAGACACGTACGGTATTATCGGAACCACCAGATACAATATATTTAGGATTTGACCAGTCAATATCCAAGACCTTATCGCCGTGGCCAATTAAATCGTAAAGAGGTGCCTTAGGACTAAAAAAGAAAGATATAAAGAATTATTAAAGTGAAATGGAAAAAGAAGTGATTCCAGAACTCACCTACGACAATCCCACAATTTATTTTGATTATCATATGACCCTGACACAAACAAATATTCCTCTGTTGTTGACCACATAATTGTTTCAACCCATTGCTGATGACCCAAATAGGTGTTGCGTACCACAGAACCATCTGAAAAAAGGATTTATTTTTTTTTTTCAAAATTATTTCTCTTCAATAAAATTTTTTTAAACTTACGATTTGTCCTTGGATCATAAAGTCTTATATTCTTATCGGCCGAAGCAGTGACAATAAGATGATTCAGATTGGAATAACTAGCATCGAAAATTGACTTATTTGTGGAAATTTCAGTTTTAATACCCTCCATATTTAAATCCCACACCTTCATTGTGTGATCCCAACTGCTGGTCAATAGGGTATCCTTGTCCATCCATTGTACAGCTGAAATGCATTCACGGTGACCTTGTAATGTCATTATGGGGGTCTGTAAATAAAAAAATTGATTATATGAAACATGGGATTATCTTAAATTTTTTTGAAAAATAGTTTTAAGCATATAAACCTAAACAAGCTTGGATTTAAAAAAAAAAAAAAAAAATTTGCAAGGACCCTTGTATCGGTCTGTTTTTTAAGGTTTTAAAAGAATATATTTTCGGGGACACGGAAAAGATATAATCCACGCCTTGATTAAAAAAAATGTTCGAGGCGCCGATGTTTTTAAAGAATACTTTCTCGAGGACCCAAACAGTTGTTGAGTTTGTAAAGATTTTTTTCTCGAGTATTTTTAAAGACTTTTCTCGTGGACACAAAAAAACGTGGATTTTTTAAGTATTTTTGTTCGAGTACCCATACAGGCATGGATTTTTTAAAGACTCGAGGATCGAAACAGTTGTGATTTTTAAGAAATGTTTTCTAAAGACAAAAAATGCCTCTATTTTTTAAAGAATATTTTCTGAGGACCCAAAAAGGTCTCTATTTTTTAAAAAAATATTTTCTCGAGTATCCAAACAGGCGTGAATTTTTTAAAGAATATTCTCTCGAGGACCCAAAGATTCCACTATTTTTTAAAGGGTATTTTCACGAGGACTCAAAGAGGTCTCTATTTTTTATAGTATATAAATTTTTTAAGAATATTTTTTACAACGCCGTTTTTTTAAGAATATATTCTCGCGGACCTAAAGAAAAATATTTGTCCCAAAAAAAAAAATATTGTTTTTTGGGACAAAAACGGACCTGCATTTTGTTTACGAATATTTTTAGGGACCCAAACGGACCCGAATTTTGTTAAAGAATATTTTTGAGGGACCAAATGATCCTGCCTTTAAGTTGTTTGTTAGAACGTTTTCTCCTCCAGTTTATTTTACTGGCACTTTGCGACTAAAGCCTTCAAAAAGTAATTCGATATCAAAATTTTCGCCTTAAAATATTTGCACTTATAAACTCACCCTTGTTGATCCCGTTTCAAGTTTGGCCTTCTTCGACGAACCTTCAGCAGCTTCATTAATATCCGTCGACCATATTTTCAACATTGTATCCCATGAACCGGTGGCAAATTTATCTTTCGTAGGGCTAACATCAACACAATCGATGCCACGTTCATGACCCTTACACACCGATACACATTCGACGGAATTTGTTTCGACCATCCATTCCCACAGCATTGCTGTTTGATCCTGAGAACATGATATGAATTTACCTCGCTCTTCATCCAATGATACCCATGATACTGCTTTAATTGGCATAGAGTGACCGGGTATGGTGAGGACATGTTTTCCCTTAATTGTCCAAATGTTAATGGTATTATCATAACAACCAGTTAGCACCCATTTGCCACATGTTTTCACAGCTGATACCCAATCATCGTGTAGCAGACAATCTTGTGGCTCCGGCGCTGGGAATCTTTCAACATATTCAATTTCAATGGCATCTTCAAAGGAAATGGCCTTCTCACGCAAATGATCACACAGTCTCCCTCTCAGATATTCATCGAAGACCAAAAAATCAAATTCAACCGTTCGATGGCTACCATCTGTTGATGTTTGTTCCAGCAACGTATTGACAAAGGTATTCAATTCGGTGGTGGCCACCGTGGCATCAATGGAATATGGAACATCGGGTACACCATATCTGTGGAAAGAAAAAAGTTATAACTACTCCCAAGATACAATTATTGCTCCAGCCTTTTGACTTACTGTTCCTGTTTTGTTTTCAAATGCACTTGAACTTGTCCCTCGCCGTTCTCAGCTTCCATTGCTGTTGTTTTTTTGTTTCTTAATTTATTTACACTTATTCGATAATTTCTCTATAGATTCCAAGTTGGTTTTGTGTTTTCCAACCAGTAGATCACGTTCCAATTTTTCAATTTAAAGGTTTTATTTAATATTTGTGCACTTTTCCAGAATTCCTACTAACAAACACGCCTGCCCAATGTTTTCTTAATTCCCACATGTCATGAAATATGGCGTTGCCATACTCACATAGCGGCTTAGAGCGATAGAGAAGATGCCAGAGTTAGAGAGAGTAGATGTTTAGTTAGTGAATGTAGTGACGTAGAGTACATGTGTTGTCATTTAAGTCATTGACACCGGTTTAACTTTAATGAATAATATATTTCTCCTGGACCTACCCTATCAAAATTGTTAACATTTATGGAGAAAGCGGTTTGATGAAAACTTTACAAATCGTTATATTTTTACGAACCATATTTCAAAAGGGAAAAATATTTTATCAGCAATTTCCTCTTAGTATCCCATAAAGGGTCAAAACTTTGAAAATCTTTAAATTTCCTGAAGCGAAAATTCGATTTGAACAAAAATGTTCACGTCATAGCATTCTTATCACAATAAGATGATAGTCCTGTAAGAGATTTCAATACTTTTTTTGATTTCGATCTTTGGATAACAGACCCTTATCATACACCTGAAGATATAGGGTTCCATTTTTCGTATTACTTACGACAACTAGGGAGGAATTAGTCTTCTTCCCATCGCATATAAAGTGTTAGCGAACGTGCTGTGTGAACTACTAAGTTTGACGAATTGCATCCCGCAACACATCATTCTGAAATAACGTACCCCACCGAACAATTTCCCTGTATACGATCTGATATATGCATTTAAAATCGACAAATATACCATATCTGGCATTAAACTTGCTCAGCCTACCTCATCCTCGGGAGGATAGAATCGTAAAACCCGAACTGATGCAGGAATTTACATTCACTCCCTAATCTTTTCCAAGCACTTCACCAAATTACTTTCGAATCCTGGAAGATAATATGACAGGATGATTGTCACATTTAACGACGTAACTGTGACAGACCCGAAGAGGTGTGCGTGTTACAGGAAATTCATTGAACACTCCGAGAGTGGCGGGGCGAAAAGCAGACATCCAAGGCGGAATATGGTAATGGTAATGCATAAGCAGCTGAATGATCCCGGAGTTGACTATTTAACATCTGCATTAGCGGTACTTCTCCCATCACTGAAAAACAGTTCTCCAGTTGCCCAACATCAGGGTGGATTACGTAAAATGTACAGCACTACACGCCACTTCCACACACATTAGCAGAGGACTTAACCATAACAGTCTATGCAACCGAACAGTTATGGTGGCACTTGACCTATCGTAGGCCATCCATTCGGTCAACCGACAAATCTCAGGACGTTATTGAAACGTTCGATAATCAACTATATGTGTGGACGCCAGTCATATGTCGAATTCATAACAAGAAGTCCAAACACCGAGTGAAATAGAGAGTTCCTCAAGGATGGGTCACATCTCTGGAATTGTTTAACCTCTGCCTTTCAGAATTTTCACAACCACTAGACGGCGTAAAGATCGTAATGTATGCGGATGATTGTAGGATCATGGCGTTGGATCCCTTTTTTGATGACATTTGTGAGAGGTTAAACTTCTACATAGCTGAACTTGTAAATTTCTTCCATTTGAGATATATGAAAATATCCGCCAACGAAATCAACAGACACACTGTTCACCATATGGAAGGTTCAAATGCAGCTCCCGCTGAACATAATGGTCGATGTAGAACTGATTCTGGCCACAAACTACCCTAAGATACTGGGTGTAACGTTCGATATCGTTTTCAATTCATCTGCACAAGCCACTGCTTTATGTGATAAGTTGAGAAGTAGGAACAAGGTCCTTATTGACCTCGTAAAAATACCGGTCAGTGTGGTTTGCGAATGTAAGTAAAACACAGCGGAAGAATATTCGAGTCAAGCCACTGCTTTATGTGAGAAGCTGAGAAGTAAGAACAAGGTCCTCAAGCCGGCAGCACTTGGATCGCTGACAAGAAAAACCTTATTGGCCTTGTATACAAAAGTAGGACGGTTAGTGGTCCGCATCAGCGTGGTTTGCGAATGTAAGTGATGTGCAGTGGAAGAATACAAAAGGGTATCACCTCATGACTACAGAGGACCATCATCATGAAAGTGCGAAGATCTTACCCGTCCATCGACAGAACCATACACTGTCAATACAGTAGTTGCTTGAGTGTTATCGTCGGGAACGCCCCTGTTATAGCTTTATGGACAGAACTCCCCCACCCGGACACGTCAAGAGAGATCTTTATGCTCTAGAGATAGGTCCAAAGATATAAGCGTCAAGCACCATCGTCTATCAAGCAGGTCTGAATGACATTCAAACAGACGCAGTCGCTCAGGCAGTAGAGCAATATAGCGTGAATACCTTTATCGGAGACCACCCCCATCCATCCCAGCAGAGGAGAAACAGCTGCCCCGACAAACACGAGTAGCCTAAACTGAACTAAGATGGTGGATGGTGCATCCGCCTCAATTCTTGTTGAGCAATGATTGACTTGATTGAATTGTTTGGCTCGATACCTAAAACACATCCTGCATGTGAACTAGGACCACACATTGGTTCAGCTAAGCCGACTCACCTATCACCAAATTCCCTATGGACGTAATCTTTTCAGTCATACACTTCATACCAGATAATTTTCTACTTCTAATTCGGCAAATACTGTTCATAACTTCTAACCGCTCCATACCTGGAGGCTCTCCAAAAGTTGAGGTCAAAAGGTAAGAAGTTATAAATAAAGCGCAATTCCATCGAACCACCAACAGCGAACAATAACCGCTTCCGTGGCTTGTCTTTTATTTCTGTGGCTGATACACCACATCTGGGATGAGACTAGGAGTCTGAAACATAGTCTCAATTGTCTTGCGATTTCATTCATTTTTGCACTTAAATAGGTCTATCGATCCGGTTTTGGTTTGAATTTCGATTTCGATAATTTTCGAACGCTTTTAGATCATAATAGACTTTCTTAAAGCCAAAGGTCATAAGTATCTATAATCCCAAAGCATCCGCCACCCTCGAACTTCAAAAACTAAATTAAAACACTCTCCTTCCCAAGAAAATCCCCCAAACTACAATGACACTTGAAGACATTCAAAACTAATAACTCCTATTTTGGTTCGTCGTGTTGGTGCCACTCAAAAAGTTATCTTCTAGTTAACCTTCTTCGTAACACTTGGACAAAAGTTGTTGTCCATTGAGCAGAAAAAAGATAAAAACAAAGCCTGCTGAATGGTCATTCAGACAGATAGCTGGAAGGGGCAAATGAAACGTACGACAGCAAAAAACAAAATTAAATTAAATGAATCTCCCCACTTGATGGCGATGATGATGGCCACTTAACCTCCAACCAGATAATGAAGAAGTAGTTGAAGTGGTTTCAGAGATACAACATTGAATTCGACAACCGAAAGCAAAAAAAAAAAAAAACTGTAACTGGAAATTTTGTTGTTAGCAAAAGTAATTCGGAAATGTCTACATACTCAGGAGGTTGTAGTTTTTAATGTGCATTTTGAAGATGATGGTGGTGATGCTACTGCCTGCCGTCACATTCAGTTGTTGTATTGGTTAATAATTTTTAATTGAAATTGTTGGTCTTACAAAATTTACGTAATTTTACCTGGCTATGTGAGCGCCTATGTCGATCGTCAGTCCAACGAAAATGCTCATTCATTCTCCACCAAAAAAGGAGGTTAACTGACCATCACAACGTCAATTGAAGTGACCACCGGATCACAACATTCACAAACATTTTGTGTAGATCGTGAGAGAGTGAGTGGGGTTTTGAGGAGCCAATTGCTGGAAATTTTTGACTCAAGAGACTAATTTTTCAGAGTGTTTTTTAGAAGTTGGCAGAGTTTAGCTCAACATTTATTATCTTGGGCCATTAAAATTTAGATCTCTTTTTATAATTCTTTTAAACTGACCTTTTATTTAATGGCTATTTGAAATGTTTATAGCTTCTTCTTTTTAAAACATTGTTTTAATATTAATAGTCATTAACATAATTATAATAATTAATAATTAAAATTAGTACTATATACTAGTACATTTTAAAAAAATATTCTTTAAAAAATCCACGCCTTGTATGGATGCTTGAAAAAATATTCTTTAAAAAATCGACGCCTTGTATGGATGCTTGAAAAAATATTCTTTAAAAAATCGACGCCTTGAAAAATATTCTTTAAAAAATCGACGCCTTGAAAAAATATTCTTTAAAAAATCGACGCCTTGAAAAAATATTATTTAAAAAATCAACGCCTTGTTGATGGGTCTTGAAAAAATATTCTTTAAAAAATCGACGCCTTGAAAAAATATTCTTTAAAAAATCGACGCCTTGAAAAAATATTCTTTAAAAAATCAACGCCTTAAAAAAATATCCTTTAAAAAATCGACGCCTTGAAAAAATATTCTTTAAAAAATCGACGCCTTGAAAAAATATTCTTTAAAAAATCGACGCCTTGAAAAAATATTCTTTAAAAAATCCACGCCTTGAAAAAATATTCTTTAAAAAATCCACGCCTGTTTGGGATGCTTAAAAAAATATTCCTTAAAAAATCCACGCCTGTTTGGGATGCTTGAAAAAATATTCCTTAAAAAATCCACGCCTGTTTGGGATGCTTGAAAAAATATTCTTTAAAAAATCCACGCCTGTTTGGGATGCTTGAAAAAATATTCTTAAAAAAATCCAAGCCTGTTTGGGATGCTTGAAAAAATATTCTTTAACAAATCCTACTCAAAACCATGGAACGTACAATCGACACCATGATAAAGAGCAGTATACCCAATGATACACTGAAATACAAACAACATGCGTAGTTAAAAGGGAGATCAGTGGAAACCTCTTTACCTGAGGTAGTACACCTTCGTATAACTTAGCGGTATGCATTGACATTGAAGGAGCCTTCAACAATGTCAGCACTAATACGCTTATCCAATCCCTAGATACCTTCCAAGTTGACCGGGCAATCATAGACTGGGTTAACTCTATGCTAAGGAATAGATGAATAAGCTGTAGCATACATGATATAACAATCAGAGACAAAGTAGGTCAGGGAACACCACAGGGAGAGATTTTGTCACCGCTCCTGTAGGTAACCACCATATACGCAATCTTAAGGAACTTAACCGACGAAGGATTTGAACCAGTCTGTTATGCAGATGACGTTATAATACTTCTTAGGGGAAAGAATCCAAACTTAACAAACTTAAATGGAAAATACAGAAAAGGGCTGACAAGGCCCAAAGATGCTGGTGTTTCTTCAGAAGAGCCGTAGGCCCTAAATGGGATTTCAATCTATAAGAACGCTATTAGAACAAATATAACATACGCTTCTGTTGTCTGGTGGACAGCAATGGATAGAAAATGTAACGTAAAAACGTTGCAGAAAGTTCAAAGAACGTGTTGCCTAGGATCAATGCGTACAACACCAACTAGGGCCTTGGAGACAATATTATATATGCATCCAATAGATATCCAAATAAAATATGAAGCGGCAGTTGCAGCTTTAAGACTTAAAGCAATGGACGAGTGGATAGACACCGGACCCAACACACACCGCACAAAAACATATTACAGGCAACTACTGAGTCAACCTTCAATACCTTTGACTCAGACCGCATACCTGAAACGAGAGTATAATACCGGGTACCGAAATTTCTCCTCGCCTTACATATCACAGCATGATTCTACAGGCGGAGGTTCAAGCTATACCAAGGACAAAATGCAATAAATATTATTACGGACAGCAAGCAAGCTATAAAGGCAATATCTTCCAAAACAGTTAAATCCAAAACTGTACTGGAATGTATAAATACCATTAATGATTTCTCACAACAAGGACCTGTACGAATTATATGGGTACCGGGTCACCAAGGAATCATAGGCAAGGAGATAGCAAATCAATTAGACAGGAGTGCCACTACACTACCCACAATAGATGTGAATACCCTTTAGCGAAACACGCCAAGAAATAAGGGAATGGACGAATGAGAGCCACAAAACCCCTTGGGATAATAAGGGGACAGGAAAAATCACCAAAATTTTATGGGGCGACCCAAGGGAAGACAAAACTAAGCAAATCCTAAGGCTAAACAAAAGAGAAATAAGCCGACTGACGGGTATTCTGACGGGACACCTCGGCCTGAAGGCAAGATTGGATGCGAAGGTAGTAGCATTTGCAGAGCGTGTGGGGAATACAGTGAAACGCTGAAACATTTACTGTGCCATAGCCCAGCAAATGACACTCTTCACAGACTAAGCGATCTGCCTCAAATGGGGGGTGTGAATGGAAAAAATATAGTTTTTAAAAAATCCACGCCTATTTGGGATGCTTAAAAAAAATTGTTTAAAAAATCCACGGCTGTTGTTATGGGTCCTTGGAAAAATATTCTTATATTTATATATATATAAAATATTGTTTAGAAAATCCACGCCTGTTTGGGATGCTTGAAAAAATATTGTTTAAAAAATCCACGCCTATTTGGGATGCTTGAAAAAATATTGTTTAAAAAATCCACGCCTATTTGGGATGCTTAAAAAAAATATTGTTTAAAAAAATCCACGGCTGTTGTTATGGGTCCTTGGAAAAATATTCTTTAAAAAATCCACGGCTAGTTCGGATGCTTGAAAAAAATATTTTTAAAAAATGTTCGCTAAAAAAATATTAAGTTCATTACCTACCCTATATCCATGTCAGTCCGTCAGCTGACATGCGCATCGAACTGTTTCGAACATTTTTTGTGACTATCGGAGGCCAAATATTGCTTTGCAAAAAAAATTATTACATAATTTAAAAATGTACGTGCCGCTACCACGACCGCCACATAAGTTCGCATGACATATAAAGGAAGATGTAATACCACCAGTAGGTTGTTTCCCTTCCCTTAGCTCCCCCCCTACGAAACTTATAACCGGTTGCTTCTTCGTGTGAAGCTTACTAACTGATTGTCTGCATATGGTAATTGTTTAATTGCGTTCCGTCCAAAAAAAAAAAAAAGTGAATAGACGGACAGACAAACGCCGCTTAGCCAGGCCACTTAATATGCATTAGAGGTAACGCTCTAACAAAGTAACCAAACCGAACGGAACGAATCAAAGCAAAACATTTCACCTCACCTCAAATGATGATGGACGGGACATGTCCAATTGCAACAGTTAGTGGCGATGATGATGATGACGATGATAATCGTTATGATTGCCAAATAGGAAGCAAATGGACAATTGGGGTTAACAAAAAAAGACAACAACAACAGACACTATTTACAAAAGTAAATGGTAAGGCATGAAACGGGAAATGATCAATGATCGCTTTGATTGTGGCCTGGCAGGCAGGCAGCTGCTTGAATAGAAGAAGAAGACAAAAAGTGAGAGTTTCACGATCAGGTTTTTGTTTTTTGTGACCCCTTGGGGCAGGATTCGATGGTGAAATGTTGGGCACATTTGTTAGACGCTGAAAGGAAAGTTTTTTAAATAAAAAAATATTTTATAAAAAATTATATTTAATATAAAAATATTTTTTTAAATAAAAATTAATTTTTTAAATGTTTTTATATATTTTTTTTTTTAATAATTATTTTTTTTTGAAAAACATTTTTTTTAAAATTTTTTTTAATAAAAAAAATTTTTTGAAAAAAAAATAAATATATTTTTTTTGGAAATATTTTTTTGTAATAAAAAATATTTTTTTTAATAAAAATTATTTTTTTTAATAAAAAATATTTTTTTTAAAAAAAATATTTTTTTTTTAATTATTATTTTTTTAATTAAAAGGCCTGCTTTTTTTTAATTTTTTTAAATTAATCTAAAATTTTTTTATTAACAAATTTCTTTTAACACAAAAAATACATTAACAATTTTTGTTTAATTCAACATGAGAGGAATCTGTGATATCCGCTTAAATAACAAATAAATGGTGAAATGAGGAAAGGATAGACGAATGGAAGAAGGAAAAAAGGTGAAAGCTGAAAATTGGTGGTTTCACTTAGTTACGACCAATTTGATCGACTTGAGATTGCAAGTTGTTGATGACCTCCGAGGGTACTTGGTCACCCAAAATTTCGAAGAGGTTGATACGTTGATTGCCGGGAATCTGTTCATAGGCACCCAATTCAATACCTTCTTGCACGTTTTGGATTTGGGCATCCTTGGGAATGAGGAAAGTCTGTTGGGCCTGGCGGATGGCTTCGTTGGTGTAGGCGGCACCTTCACGTTGTTGTGGCATAGCGGCAACGAAGGCCACCAGGGCGACGAGGGAGAAACACACCAAGAAAGATTTCATTTTGTTTGTCTGCGTTTTGATTACTAAAAAAAATATCACAAAACAAAAAAAAATATTTTTTTAATATTTTTTTTTTTCAAATTCACTTTTATTTTCTTTGCTCGATTCAACACAAATCCAATTTCCGTTGATCGCTTGCCACGATCTTACCTTAAGCACGTCGAATACGTTAATAATATCCAAAGTGTGTGTTGAGCCAGGGTTTATAAACTTGGCTAACAACAAATTTGAGTGGTTTTTGTTAACGTTATTTTGCTGCTCAGTTATGGTAATGAGAGAGGGCTCTCTATGAGTAACTCTCTCTCTCTCTCTCCCGCTCTGCAGTAATACATTACTCTTAATATTATTTAAGCATTTTGCAAAATTGTCCATTATTTTCAAAAATTTTTTATGAATCTCCCAACTCATCTTCAATTCAAAACACGTTAGTTACGTTTTTGACGTCGTCTTCTTTCACTTCGGCCAGAGACCAAAATAACCACAATGAAAGTGTATCTTGATTAATTACGAATTGAAAAAAAAATAATAATTTGTTTGGGAAATAGGGGTGATAGATGCAAACCACGACCATGGATCAGTGACATGACACTAGGTGTCTCCCACTTAAAAAATAGTCATTAGGCAGACTTTCTTATCCATGAGACTTTTTTAAATATTTTTCCACTTCCCAAGACAAACGCAGTCCTACAAAATAGGCGTAGTTTTTTTAAAGAACATTTTTTCTACGTCCTACAAAATAGGCGGGGATTTTTTAAAGAATATTTTTTCCTACGTCCTACAAAATAGGCGTGGATTTTTTTAAACAATATTTTTTCCTACGTCCTACAAAATAGGCGTGGATTTTTTAAACAATATTTTTTCCTACGTCCTACAAAATAGGCGTGGATTTTTTAAACAATATTTTTTCCTACGTCCTACAAAATAGGCGTGGATTTTTTAAACAATTTTTTTTCCTACGTCCTACAAAATAGGCGTGGATTTTTTAAACAATATTTTTTCCTACGTCCTACAAAATAGGCGTGGATTTTTTAAACAATATTTTTTCCTACGTCCTACAAAATAGGCGTGGATTTTTTAAACAATATTTTTTTACGTTACAAAATAGGCGTGGATTTTTTAAACAATATTTTTTCCTACGTCCTACAAAATAGGCGTGGGTCCTACAAAATAGGCGTGGATTTTTTAAACAATATTTTTTCCTACGTCCTACAAAATAGGCGTGGATTTTTTAAACAATATTTTTTCGTGGATTTTTTAAACAATACGTCCTACAAAATAGGCGTGGATTTTTTAAACAATATTTTGGAATGTCCTACAAAATAGGCGTGGATTTTTTAAACAATATTTTTTCATACGTCCTACAAAATAGGCGTGGATTTTTTAAACAATATTTTTTCATACGTCCTACAAAATAGGCGTGGATTTTTTAAACAATATTTTTTCCTACGCCTACAAAATAGGCGTGGATTTTTTAAAGAATATTTTTTCAAGGCCTACAAAATAGGCGTGGATTTTTTAAAGAATATTTTTTCAAGGCCTACAAAATAGGCGTGGATTTTTTAAAGAATATTTTTTCAAGGCCTACAAAATAGGCGTGGATTTTTTAAAGAATATTTTTTCAAGGCCTACAAAATAGGCGTGGATTTTTTAAAGAATATTTTTTCAAGGCCTACAAAATAGGCGTGGATTTTTTAAAGAATATTTTTTCAAGGCCTACAAAATAGGCGTGGATTTTTTAAAGAATATTTTTTCAAGGCCTACAAAATAGGCGTGGATTTTTTAAAGAATATTTTTTCTAAGGACTACAAAATAGGCGTGGATTTTTTATAGATTATTTTTTGAAGGGGAACAAAATAGGCGTGGATTTTTTAAACAATATTTTTTCACGGCCTACAAAATAGGCGTGGATTTTTTAAAGAATATTTTTTCACGTCCTACAAAATAGGCGTGGATTTTTTAAACAATATTTTTTCAAGGCCTACAAAATAGGCGTGGATTTTTTAAACAATATTTTTTCCTACGTCCTACAAAATAGGCGTGGATTTTTTAAACAATATTTTTTCTAAGGCCTACAAAATATGCGTGGATTTTTTAAAGAATATTTTTTCCTAGTACAAAAAAGGCGTGGGTTTTTTAAAAATATTTTTTCCTACGGCCTACAAAATAGGCGTGGATTTTTTAAACAAAATAGGCGTGGATTTTTTAAACAATATTTTTTCTACGTCCTACAAAATAGGCGTGGATTTTTTAAACAATATTTTTTCCTACGTCCTACAAAATAGGCGTGGATTTTTTAAACAATATTTTTTCCTACGTCCTACAAAATAGGCGTGGATTTTTTAAACAATATTTTTTCCTACGTCCTACAAAATAGGCGTGGATTTTTTAAACAATATTTTTTCCTACGTCCTACAAAATAGGCGTGGATTTTTTAAACAATATTTTTTCCTACGTCCTACAAAATAGGCGTGGATTTTTTAAACAATATTTTTTCCTACGTCCTACAAAATAGGCGTGGATTTTTTAAACAATATTTTTTCCTACGTCCTACAAAATAGGCGTGGATTTTTTAAACAATATTTTTTCCTACGTCCTACAAAATAGGCGTGGATTTTTTAAACAATATTTTTTCCTACGTCCTACAAAATAGGCGTGGATTTTTTAAACAATATTTTTTCCTACGTCCTACAAAATAGGCGTGGATTTTTTAAACAATATTTTTTCCTACGTCCTACAAAATAGGCGTGGATTTTTTAAACAATATTTTTTCCTACGTCCTACAAAATAGGCGTGGATTTTTTAAACAATATTTTTTCCTACGTCCTACAAAATAGGCGTGGATTTTTTAAACAATATTTTTTCCTACGTCCTACAAAATAGGCGTGGATTTTTTAAAGAATATTTTTTCAAGGAACAAAATAGGCGTGGATTTTTTAAACAATATTTTTTCCTACGTCCTACAAAATAGGCGTGGATTTTTTAAACAATATTTTTTCCTACGTCCTACAAAATAGGCGTGGATTTTTTAAACAATATTTTTTCCTACGTCCTACAAAATAGGCGTGGATTTTTTAAACAATATTTTTTCCTACGTCCTACAAAATAGGCGTGGATTTTTTAAACAATATTTTTTCCTACGTCCTACAAAATAGGCGTGGATTTTTTAAACAATATTTTTTCCTACGTCCTACAAAATAGGCGTGGATTTTTTAAACAATATTTTTTAGGACCTACAAAATTGGAGTGGATTTTTTAAAGAATATTTTTTAGGACCTACAAAATTGGAGTGGATTTATTAAAGAATATTTTTTAGGACCTACACAAGGCGTGGATTTATTAAAGAATATTTTTTAGGACCTACACAAGGCGTGGATTTATTAAAGAATATTTTTTAGGACCTACACAAGGCGTGGATTTATTAAAGAATATTTTTCCCATTTAATATTTCACCGCATTTTTTGTTTTGTTTTATCGTGCTATGTGTCTTGAGGCTTGGCTGCCGTTGTAATTAAGATTGTGTGATGAGCGGTAGGGTATAATTAAACGGATGCCTTGGGTTAATGTGTGGCACAACGATGACGATTGATATTTAATTGCTGGTTGATTTGCTTCCCAAAAAACTAATATGAAGATAGGGTTTTTAGCAGTAAAGTACACTGAGAGAAATTTAAACTATGAAAAAAGTCTTACAATAGAAGAAGAGGCATTTACACAACATTCTGCTCGAAGGACCAAATATGAAATAATACGAAAAAAATAAATTTGTTCACTTTGAAAAACATGTTACTGTATATGATGAGCTATTTGCAATGTATTCTGTTGGAAGGACCAAATGTAAAAGAAAGAAGAAAACTGCACCACACATTCACAACCATACAACTGTTCGGATCTTGTCTATATCTTAATTATGGATGTCACTGCTCCCCCAGTAAACATGAAGGACATTTACATCACATTTCAGAATCAGTGTATTTTTCCAGAAAGTACCAAAGTACCTATCCGATGGATTCAGTGGTATTTGTATGCAAAATGGACTGAAATGGGATAATACTTACATTTAAGTATTTTCTCCGTTCTGGGCCTTGAATAGCGCGTGGGGAGCAGGATGATCTAATGGGGAACACAGCAATAGTCTTGCAATGGTTCCGGGGTACTTCTTTTATAATCGTTCATGCACATTTCAGCTTCCTTTAATTTTTTCTCAATGTATTCTTTTGAACGACGAATGTATTCAGTTGGCCTTACATTTTTCTTAAAGTTAAGAATTACCCCATAAGAAAACCCCCATAATATTTGTCCAAAGTGGGGCATATTGGAAGTATTTGTTAATGGCTAGACCAACAAAGGATTCGCAAAATAGTTCGTTATCTAGTCCTTTTTTGTTGCCGTCGACTGATATTTCATCAAATATTAACATAACGTCTTTATAAAAAGGATTATTTTTATACGCCACATTGTCAGATATATATTTTTCATTGGAATTTTCCATTAAATCTAATTGGTATTTTCGTATCCAAATGTACTGAGGATACAGTTGAAATATGCAATGTATATGTTACATTTAATTATTTTCTCCGTTCTGGGCCTTAAATAGCGCGATATCTATTCTTCCTTAGATATCTAGGACTATTAATTGTTTTCGTAAGGAATTCAGCATATTTTATGTGTCTGTAGTTGAAGGCCTTGACGCTTTTAGACAGAGTGATTTTGAGCAAACTGAGATCACCATTTCGCACCGAATCATGGTGAAGTTAGCCGAGTCAATGTTTCAGCAGTTCGATACCTTGACAACTTGATTGACTTTGTCGGACAAACTATTAATTCTTTGGGAAGTGTTCGCATGGACGGAAATCAAAAACATTTTCCTCATCGCAAAGCGATCCGCAGTGCTGATATCTGACAGTCGAGCATCAGATGAATTGGGAAGTTCTCTGAACAGTCAATTGGGGGAAGTCTTTAATATGTTTCTTTTGTTTCTCCCATGGTTCTTCCTTCTAAAA